GGGGGGGGGGGAAAGAGGGGTCAATTTGGATATATTGCTTTAAGCAACTTCTTCTCTGGAACTAAGAGATAGATATCAACCATATTTGAATGGAAGCATCCCTAGTTGGTGGAAATTCAAAATTGTACAAATGGTTAGGCTGACCCCCCAGGGGGCTGAGGGGCAGGGCCAAAAGGGGGCAATTTGGCTATATTGCTACAAACGACTTCTTCTGTAGAACTGTGCACTGGATATCAATCATATTTGATCAAAAGCATTCTTGTGAGGCAGGGATTCAAAATTGTACAAATGGTGGGGCTGAGGGGTGGGGGCCAAAAAGGGTATTTGGCTAAATTGCTTTAAGCGACTTCTTCTCTGGAACTAAGGAGTGGATATCAACCAAATTTGACTGGAAGCATCCCTAGGTGGTGGTGATTCAAAATTGTACAAATGGTGGGGCTGACCCCCAGGGAGCTGAGGACGGGGCCAAAAGTGGGCAATTTGGCTATATTGCTAAAAACAACCTTTTCTGTAGAACTATTCCATGGATATTGATCATATTTGGTCGGAAGCATTCATGGGAGGCAGGGATTCCAAATTGTACAAATGGTGCTGCGGACCTCCCGGGCTAAGTGTTGGGGCCAAAAAAAAGTGTATTACTTTGAAATTGTTGTGATCCCCACCATATAACCATGGTATACAATTGCTGAGTATAAAGAGAAGAATGCACATTTGCTTCCAGGATGGCTCTAGGGTCTGGCCCCACCCTTGGAGACATAGTCCCTGGGCCATAACTTTAAAACTGTTGAGATCCCCACCCCAAAACTATATATACAAATGCTGGGCATAAAGAGACGAATGCAGTCATGATATCAGAATAGACCATGGGGTCTGGCCACAACCCTAGGGATCTAGTTTCTGAGTCAAAGCTTGGAAACAGTTGAGAGGCCCACCCTATAACCCTATATACAATTGCTGAGTATAAAGAGATGATTGCACATATGCTTCCAGGATGGCCTTGGGGACTGTCCCACCCTTGGAGACTTAACCCTTGGAGACTTAACCCCTAGGTCATAACTTTGAAATGGTTAAGATCCCCACCCCAAAACTATATATACAATTTTTGGGCATAAAGAGACGAATGCAGTCACAATTTTAGAATTGATCCTGTGGTCTGGCCACAACCCTAGGGACCTAGTTTCTGAGTCAAAGCTTGGAAACAGTTGAGATCCCCACCTAATAACCATACATGAAATTGCTGGGCATGAAAAATCTAACACTGATATGCTACAAGGATTGGCCTTTGGTTCTGGCATATTCCCTTGATTTCATTTGGAGAATATTTTGCCATGATTGCTTAGGTATCCAGGTGAGCGATACAGGCCCTCTGGGCCTCTTGTTCAATTTGGCAGTCCCTGTTCTTATCTAACAATTACTGCACCTTAATCCTATTCATTGTAGGTGGGTGTTGATGCAGGGGGAATTAGTCAGCTACTGGACCAACAGTTACTGGTGTATATTACTTACTGTTCATCGAGGTCTAGACACCATTTATACTTTAAGATTGTTATGATATGAGATTCATGCAGGTGAAATAAGTTATTTGACAAAAGTTCTAGTTAGTGACCCTTACCGGTGATCCTCCTACCTAGTCCATCCATCCATTCATCCATGTTT